TCACCTCTCTTTATTTCATTTAAGTATATACCATTGACGCATTGTATTCTTTATTTTATTTGTTTATAAGATAATGGCAGTAGTTATTAATTAAATAATATTATTTACAACTTCCTTTTTTGAGAAAAGGAGATATGAAAAAGTGTTATTTAATTATTTAATTGAGTTAATGTTAAGATATGAACTATTGTTGTAGAGAGTCTGTTATTATAAAATGAACCAGTAATTACTTTAATCAAAGTTTTACATGGAATATCTTTAAATTGATTTAAAAAAGTATCATTTATTATAAAAAGAATAAAAGAATTAAATGAGCAACTATTTTATTAAAAAAAACTAAAAAAAAACATTAATAGAAAAAGACATATATGGAGAGTGATTTTAATGATATTAGTAAAGAACAATTTGAAGAATCTATTGTTAGAATGAAAACATATGAAAGTATAGCAACAATTTATTCTGGAAAAAAGAAACAACAAAAACCAGAATACCAAATAATATCATATTTAAATTCAATAGAAAATGAAGGAAAAGATAAAGTAAGTGATATTATTTTTATTGTTGAAAGGAATAGTCAAAAGAATATAAACATTATAAACGAAAAGATAATAACTTTAATAAAACGATATTCAACAATGAGATTTGGATTTATTCAATATTATATTGATGAATTTAATAGACTTTGTTGCTCACATCCACAATTTATTGAATACGAAAAGTTTAATATTGAAGAATATACTAAGTGTTTTATTGATGAAAGTTATAATAAAGAAAATATATTACAAATACCATTTAATGATATAATTACTAAAGTTATAAATGTTGATTGGAGAATAAAAAAAGATGGAAAGAAAGTAATTATTTGGTTTGATAAATCACCAATAAATATTAATAAGCAAACAAAAGAAATAATGGAACAAGACAATTTTATTATTGATCAATTTTTTGTTTTTATAACACAAAAATATGATAATAAATATCAACAACAGTTTAATGAAGAAACTATTCACTGTAAAAAGATTCAGCACATTTGTTGGAATAAATTCAATTTGAATGAATGTCTTATTAATAAATTATGGTTTAATAAGTTATTAGATATTGATATTAAAAATACATTATTTGATGATAAATTAAATGATTTAAGAATATATATTAATGAGCGTCTTATGAATCAAGAAAAAGAAACGATGAATGGTATTACTATTTCCATTCCTAAAAGTTATATCATTTCAGATAAATGTTATAAGTCATATGGTGTTTCAACAACAGTCGAGGTACAACCATCTCAACTTCAAGTTGATTTAAAATGTTCTGGACTTGGAAGATTTAAAATCATGCATCAAGGATTATTAAATAATACAGAAGAAGTTGCAGTAAAATATGACCATGATATAATTAATAATACATTTGATAATTACATTGGAATTTTAGAAAGTTATTCTGTAACAAAGAAATTTCTTAGTGAATTTAATTTAATTAATGCATCATCTATTGAATGTGTTAATATTAAATTATTTGTTCCAACAACAATACCATTATTAAAAAAAATTTATACTATTTCAGAAATACGTCAATTCATTAAAGGAAAAAACATCTTTTTAATTGAGCCATTACTTAAAGAACAATTTACATATTGGAATAAAAATGATGGAAGAGTGAATTTAGAAAATTATTCTGCATCATTAAATTGTTTTAGTCATTTTACTTATGTAAGAAGTGGAAGAAGATTATTAATAAGTGATATACAAGGTGTTATTCATGAACAAAAATATTTATTAACTGATATGGCAATTCATCATGAGATGAGTTGTAGATTTGGGTGTAGTGGTGATAATCACAGATTTAATGGAATGAATAAGTTTCTCCAAAAACACATATGTAATAATGTATGTTTTAAATTAAAATTAAACGGTATTGATACATTTGAAGCAGATGAAGAAGCAGAAACAAAATGTTACATAACAACAATTAGTCAATAACAAAAAATTAAAGTAAATTATTTTCAGTTAATAATATTTTGATTTCTTCTAATTTCTTTAGTGTCATTTCATTTGGATCAATCCATAATTTTTCAATCATTTTCTTAAACTCTCCTTGTTGTCCTTCTCCAAGGTTTTTTAATAATGGAATTACTTCTTTTAATTCTGGAATAATTCTTTCTTCATTTTCTTCTCTAATAGATAAATTACTTCCACTACTTGTTTTCATCCATGCACTAAATAATGATGCTCCAAATGATCCACAACACATAACCTCTTCAAATAATTCTTCTTTATCTTTAAGAATTGAGCTAATTTCATTAACTCCTTTTTTACGAATCATTTCAAGGACAATTTGAGATAATACATATAATGTAGATTTAACTCCTGCTTTCTTCATAATCACATCTTCAAATTTTTCATCTAAATATCCTCCAAGTTCTTCCCATTGATATTTGTTATTAATAAGCATTTGACTAAATAATGATGCCATTACATCTGATGCTCCTCCTTCAAGTCCTTCATTATCTTCTTTAATATTAATTAATGCATCCTTTAATAATGCTTCACAATCTGCACAACATATTTGAGTAATAAGTTCTTTAATTTTAATTAATTGTTTTTCATTACAAGTTTCATACATTGACACTAATTTTTTAACACATTCACCATATGCATTACTATTTTCAATTTCTTTCATTATCTCTTCAATTTGTATTTCATTTTTAATAAATTTAGATATAATTTGTTCTCCAAATACACCAGCTGTATATGTTGGTGTTTGTGGAATTGGTGTTCTCATTTGTGTTGGTGTAGATGAGTCATATTCTTTTTTTTCTCTTTCAATACGATGAGCACCTCGAGTAGGAGTGGGTTTAACTGGATTTGTTTTTTTAGGAGCATATTTACAATAAATATTTCCTTTAACAGGTGTTGAGACAGATCTTTCAACAAATGAAGATACCCAATTAGCTTCAATATCATCAAGACATAATTGAACAATGATATGAGTTCTTTTAGCTAAATTGTGATTATTTTCTGTTAATCTCATTTGGTCTAAAATCTTTTGAAGTTCTTCTTCGTTTTCATCCTTTAAATTCTTCCAAACATCTTTAATTAAAATAGTTAATGCTTCAATTGTTAAGTCATTTCCAACTTGAAGTAATTCATTACAACATAATATTGGTAACTTAAAAACAACAGCACCTTGAATATATAATTTACCAATTAAACGAACAGTACCAAAATATTCTATTTTTTCAATTTCTTCTGTATTCTTTAATTGAATTTCTTCTTCTGGAGTAATACCTTCTTTACGAGGTTTTGGTTGAGGAATAGCATGGAATAATTGATAACTTTTTTCGAGTAATGTTTTCATTAAAATATTCTCTCCTTGAACAAATTTATCATAAATTTTTGGATTACGTTTAACTTGAATAAAGAATTCAACATATAATGATGCAAACTTTGGTTCATTAATAGACTTTTTAAATAACATATCAAGGAAAATTGATAATTCATTACTTGTTTTTAAAAGACTTTCAACTGCTAATACAGAAGGAACAATACGTTCTTCACTAAGTTTATTAAGAATAGCAAGAATCTTTGATTGAACTAATTCATCATTATTTAATTGTGTAGTAAACAAATTCTTTGGTACAATAGGTTTCTTCTTTTTATTTTCACTAGCCATTTTATTAAATCTTGAAACATCACTTTCAGTTAAATGAATGGCTTTACTTCTTAAATTTTCTATTTCTTGTAATGTATAACAAATGTATTTCACTTTTGGTGATGGTGGAACATATTTCTCTTCTTGTTTTGTTGGTAAACGTTTAGGTATTGGACTATTTGTTAATATTCCTTCTGGAACAAATGCAGAAGATGATCTTGCTGGAGTTTTTTCAGTACTAAGAATTTTTTCATCAACATCTTCTATTGTGTCATCATTTATTTTCTTTTGGGGTTTAGGAATATCAATAGTTTGATTTTCTACTTTAGTTGTTCGAGTAAAAGGAACTTCTGTTTTAGTAGATATTACAGTTTTTCTATTCTTTGGAACAAATACTTTAGCGTCCATCTTTAATTGTGTTTTTGGTTCGTTGTTTATTTCGTGTGTTGTGGTTGTAGACTCTTCTGCTTTTTTAGGTTTTCTAACAAATTTTGGTGCATTTAAAATGAGATTAACTGAACTCATCCAGACTGATTTGATGGATCTACCAATAGGGTCTTAATTTAATTTATATAAAACCCTATTTCATATTTTTCATTGACGTAAACTTTAAAAGCTGTTGAAATATTTTTTCTATTAACTCTTGTAACAATTATTTTCATTGATAACTGTTAATGTATATAGTTTCTTATTATTCATTATCAAAGATGACACATTCTTTTAAAACTCTAAAAAATTTATAAGGTATAAAAGAAAAGAAAATATGATTTTATTTCTTATGAATGTTTTTCTTTTCTACCTTTTATTTCTCTTGTTTGTTACAGTTATGATGAAATATACTTATTAATTCTTCAAAACTATATCCTTTATTTCTATAATTATTCATATTTCCCTTTATAAGCCAATTCATTCTTTTAATGATTTGTAAAAGCTTTTTTAACTGAAAATAAGGTAGATAAAAAAAACTACCAACGACTATCTTTAAGTCATTGCTTTTATCAAATCAAGAAATGAAAAATCATCCGAAGGAGAAGAATATGAAAAAAAAGAAAAACCGAAAAAAAAAAAGAAACGATAAAAAAGAAAA